GGGCGGCTCGGGAGGGAAGGGGCCGCCCGGGAGAGGCCGCCGGGCTGCCGCTCCGCCGTTCCCGTGCGGCGTCCGTGCGGCTGCCCGCCGGGGAGAGCAGAGTTGTCCTGCCGTGTGTGTTTGTGAGGCACAGCCAGGCGTCCGTGTCCCCGTTCAGCGCACACACACACAGAGGTTTGCTGGAAGGGCGCTTTCCGGTACCTGCAGCCACTGTAAGACGGGGGCCCGCACTACCCCTGCGGGAAGGCGCTGGTGGAGTTTACCAGCATGGCGAGGAATGACCATTTCTGTCAGCACGGGTTTGATCACCAAGGGCATCCCTGGTGCTAGGAGCAACCGAGGGGGTCTTGTGCTTGGACTTCTACACCCTGAAAAGGGTCTTAAAGTGCTTGATTGCAGAGTAAATATTAAATTGCTCCACCATCTGGAAAAAAACGATTTTAAAGGGAAAAAAATCCCATCAGCAGTGATGTCTGGGCTTGAATAGACAGAACCACTTCTACAAACACCATCTCCATACATGTGTCTTCTGAAATAAATATTTGAACAATAGGGTGCTTCATCATAGTTCAGCTACTGGAAGGCAGAAAGCATCAATGACTGCACAATGCATTCCCTGCTTTTATTCTATTACACAGAGTCAAAGCCTCTTCATCTAGTATCCACTGTGCTCAAGCTCTGCAAAAATTAAGGGCTTTTAGGAGAACACACGCTAGCAGCTATCGTAAATCAAATTAGCATGGTTTAAGGTCTCTGCTTATGCAGAGGAATTTTATGTCGGGCATGGACAAAGAATCCTCCAGAAGCATGGAGCATCCATTTCCCACCAGACCCTTTAGGTTATTTCACCTATTTATCAGTTCACAGCCCCAGCAAGCACATGGAGCAGTTGGGCCCTTCTGTTGTTTGTGGCACATATTTTAGTCTTACAGGCTAAAAGGGCTTGGTGTCAAGGTTTGGTGTAAGAGGTCTCTGAGTGAAATGTAATGGTCTGCAATACATCAGGAGATCAGAGTAATAAATTTAGAAGTGTGCCCCGATACAGGTGGATCTGTAAAGCACTACAGTTGCTGCTGAGGACCTGATGTCTCTACTTTATGTGCTGCAGGAGTTTTCACTTCAGGATAGTTCTTCTCTGGACCTGTGGACTGAATATTCATTAGTGGCTGTAGGGCATTAAGTGAACCTCTGGGGCACATCTTCTGATTTGGTTTTCTTCAAAAGGAGTCCAGCTTGCTTTCTGAAACTCTGTCGAGTTATAAACCAGAGCACAGTATCAGTCCAGATGATGAGAAGATTTACTTCTAAAATACACTCATCTGAACTTTAGTGCTACTGTAGAGGCACCACGTCTTGCTGGACTTGAGGCTTAAGCTCTGCAAAGGCAAGTTACTCTGTGCCGAGCTCTTTTGATTACATACCCATTGCATGCCCTTGTGTCTTGTGATCAGCCTCTGACAGGAAGAATATGCGGCTGTCTAAGCCTTAGGCAGTCTGTCCCCTACTTTTCTAGCTACACCTCATCCTATGACGTACAGGAACTCTCTACCTGGGTCACCTTTATGTCACTAATAAGGCACCAGAGACGTTAACACTCACTGAACATAACTTGATAACTGCCATTCTCGGTTTGCCTTTTAGTCACATGTATTTAAACATTCTCCAGGGTTACAGCATCCTCAAAACTTTTAAAAAAATGAAAAAATACCCAGGCTTTTTGGAGCCCCATTTGAACACTCTTCAGTTCTACTCTCCACTCCTCCATAGAAATCTCAGCAAAGCTCACAGAAAATCTTAACCTCGTACAAAGAAAAACTTTCACTCAGCCTTGTAACCCAAGGTGGAAATCTAAATGAAGCAAAATGTATAAACACTCTTGTTCCACTTCTTTTTTTTTTTTTTTTTTCCCTTTTTTTTTTTTTTTTTTTTTTCTTTCAGTCAAGAAAATCTCAAGGCAGGCTAACTAACATGCCAGGCTCAGCCAAGCTTCTTCCTGGTCAAAGACTCTTCTTTATTACGCATTTCTAGACCTTTGAAAGGAACTTAATTCCTTTGTGGGTGGGTTCTTTGTGTCTGTGTCCTTTCTAAAGAAGTATCTGTTGAATCTCTGGCCAGTATTATAACAAGGGCTAATTAGATTGTGGGCTGCCATTAGCCTTTATGTGCTACTGTGGACTTGAGAGACAAACAGCAAAGTCTTTTGTGACTGTGGCTGAAATGAGTTTGCAATGGATTTTATTTTCATTTGGATTTAATTTTTTTCAGTAAAGTAAAAATTATTACTAATCTGCCCTTTGTATTGCTATATGGCTGCAACTTTCTGGTACTTTGTGAAATGTTTACATTTCAGGTTTTTGATTAAATGCATAAACATGTAAAATATTATATTTAGTGCTAGCCTGCGATTTTTCAGATCCTGATGTTTAAATATTTCTTTTATGCAAATTATGAAAAGCCTCAACTGAATAAGACACATACTGTAAGTTTGTTTGAAAGTAGAAGTTTGACGTGGGTCATACTCAGCATTCAACAGAGATGAGAAACAGCTTTAGAAAGGAGAGAGTGTCCAAAGCACTGGTACATCCAGGACGGGACATGTTAATAAATGCTGTCTAGTACGGAGTGGGGAGGGAAGCAAGGTGTCTAAAAATCTGTCAGAGAATTAATTGGAAAAAAGAGCTAAAAAGGTGGGTTTCCCATCCAATTGTTAATGTAAAAGGAGTGTCATGATGGTTTTGCTACTTGGCACCTTGTCAGAATAAAGTGTGACTTCTTGAAGTCCAAGTTTTAATCTTTTCTATGCAGGCTAGCTGATAAGAATGATTAAAGAGTATTTTGGTGATGGTGTTTCTTGTTGGGTTTGTTTTGTGGGTTTTTTTTTTCAGAAGGAATAACATTGGAATTTCTGAACAGCATTATATTTTGTGAATATTAAAGATATTTGTGAATACTGGTGAATGACCTTTGAGAGATGTTTTGAGACCAGTGAGGTGCCTTTTCTTAAGCAATTGCTCTAAATGCAGATGAGTTGTTTACAAGTAATTATGCCACAAGCCTCCAAAGCAATAAGCATAATTATGCATTCTTGAACTCATAGGAAATTGGTAATACTGCCTCATCACAATGTCTTCATGGCAATGCACCTGATACTGCAATTTCTAGTATTTGAGGCAGAAAGTACAAACTGTGCCAAGGTAAGTGTACTTGGATGTGCAGGAGTGTTACTCCCACATAAGCAGACATGCAGAAATTAAGCTTTCTTGCAATGAACATAAGTGAAATTATTGAAACATTGCAAATTAAAAATCAACAGGAAATTACTGAGAAGAAGCTTGACTGTGCCTAAGAGAAGAGTTTTTAGAAATGTTCTCAATTGATATGTATATATTTAATATATAGTTCTTCAGTTGGATGAACTGTCACTTGGGTAGTAAATGGCCCCAATACCTGAGGATTCAACGAAAATCTTTGGTAAAGACAGTTATCTGCTGTAACTGGGCCCGTTGTTAATACTACTAATAAAGTTTAGGCAAGTTTTTATTTCTTCATTTACTGTGAAGAGATATAAATGATAAAAATTGAAGGATGGGGAAAAAAGATAATAAAAATGAAAAGATTGCATTTATACCAGGTACAAAGAGCAATGTGTTTAATAAGACTTCTGGAACTACTTGTTTGCATGATGACTGATTATTGCCAGTTTAGTTTCAAGTTCACATTTAAGAATAACAGTGAAGTTACTAATTTGGCGTATTTTGTACTGAGTATTCTACAATATATATATATCTATATGTGTTTAACAGTGGGAAATAGAGCTGGAGCAGAGATGACCAGGAGATAAGTGGAACAGTTTGGGGCAGCTGGAAATTAATTTATCCTCTCTGCAAGTTAAATGTTACTTTTTCCTGAAAGACCATGAACTTTCTTGATATAAAGAAGAAATGAGCAGATAAAACTTGCTGTGTTCATCCTCCCTGTTAAGTTAAAGTGATGATTTTATAAAGAAAAAGCCTTACTGTACAAATCAGGAGTTTTGAATGTGTAGTGAAGCGGGGACTGTTGTAAGCAGATTAACTTTTCTTCACATTTGGATCAGATACATTGTGTGCAACAAAGCTGTTCCATGGTAAGGATTTTATACCTTAATTTCATACACTTTCTGCTGATTACAAGGGTCAGTGTTAGTGCAGGAAGGGAAGGCAGGTAACAGGCCTCTGTGGTGCAGAAGGGCAGTACTGACCAAGTATTCTACCAGCCCACAGATGATAGGGCCCCATGTAAAGCAGAGCAAACATTCTTCTGCTGTAGCATGCAGTCTCACAGAGGGATGTGGCCTTTGGGAAGTGGTTTAGGTACATGCAGTGCACAGGTTATAAATTACCTGCTGTCTTGTTTTAAGAACTTACCCCTATACTGCATCTACCTATCATCAAATTTTTGAACAGGCTTGATATGGAGTATTGTTTAGAAATACCAGGGAACAGTAAAAAAAGCAGAACTGCTTGTCATGGGGAAATATGAGTCAGCTTCTTATTCATTAAAAATTTACAAAAGAAGACAAACTAAATTTCCACTAGTAATTATAAAGACAGAAAATTTAATTCTGCGTATAACTGTGTACTGAGTGTGTCCCTTCTCTTAGACCCTCTTGATAGAAGACAGTCCTAACATAACAGTACCTTTAAAACACATGAAATTCCACCTGAACATAAAATGCTGCTTACTGTCAGGATGGTTGAACATAGGAACATATTGCCTAGAGAGGCTGTGGACTCTACATCTGTGGAGATATTCAAGACCCATCTAGACACAGTCCTGGGTAACCTGCCGTAGCTGACCCTGCTTGAGCAGGAGAATTCAACTAGATGATCTCAAGAGGTCCCTTCCAACCTCAACCATTCCATGATATTGCAGTGTAAATG